GCTGCTAGGCCAGTCAGGAGGAGGCTTCTGCGATCGGATGGGGCAAGGATTGCTGAGGGCGGCAGGGTCAGTCCGTGCAGGTAGAGGCAGATCCTGGACAGAGATCCAGCCTGGGTGGACTGGCCTGCTTGTCCTGTCTGCAGCTGGCTCCCACACATGCTGCTGGGCGACCAAGTCGTGCCCGGGGCTGACAGTGTGCTCGCTAGTATCCCCCATGTGAGCAAGCATCCCTGTTGCCTATCTGGAAACTAAGACTTAGGGAGGTAGAGCTCCCCGCCTCAGTAGTGTGTAGATGAAGCCACATCTGCCTGGCCGCCATCTGGAGTTACTGCAATGGAGGGATTAAAGGAGTGAAGGATGAGGACATGATGGGGGGGGGGGCCAGGACACGCTGCTGGGTGCCCTTGGCAAGCCACTACCCTCTGACCTCAGTTTGCTTATCCACGCTCACCTGCCCAAGCTAGAGGATGCATGAGGCCTGGATGAGAAGGGGCCTCGCTGAGTGACCTGAGGGCAGAAGGGCCGAGGACACTAGCCTCCTCCCTTCCCATCGTTGCTTGGATCTGGGTTAGACTTGACCCAGGCCAGTGCTGAGAGCATCTGGCCTGAGATGCCTGGATTCAAATCATCACAGGCCGTTCCCTTCCCTTTCTGGGCCTCGCTTTCCCCATCTTGCCACTGTCCACCTCCCCCTTGCTGTGAAGGTTAAAATTAAACGGCGCTTTGGAGGAGGGTGTGAGCTCTGAGCGACACCCTCCGTCTGTTCCTAGAGACCCAGATTCCTATGGCAGCACCCCTGCCCTGAGACTTGAGGTCCAGGTGCCAGCAGATGAGCCCCCCCCCCACCAGTTGCTGATCAGCTTGACCCAGCACTGGCACTCTGTTCCTCCAGGCAGGTGCAGAGCCCATGCTGGGCAGCCGGTTTGGGAGGGAGAGGCCTCCCAGGGGGCCCAGCTGGACTTTCTGCTGGGGCAACAGGGAGCTGAGGCCGAGGCCACTTAGAGAATGTGCTGAAGGGACAGAGTCTGGAGCACCCCACGTGCCAGGATGTGGAGCCCGACTTTATTTATCCGGGGGCGGTACGGGGGGGTGAGGGGGGAGGGGGGTGTGTGTGTATGTGTGTGTGTGTGCAGGGGAGCCTTGGCTAGTTCCTGCCTCGGGGAGGGGCGGGCCAGGATGCTTCTCTGACGTGGGGGAAACCTGGGAAACAGGAAGGTGGGGGAAGGCTTCACATGTTTACACCTTATCAGGCGTCTCCTGGGGATGTGGGGAGTCTGAGAACCATGGCGACCACCCCCAGCACAGCTGGGTCTGCGGGGCTGGAGGAAGACTGGGAGGCTTTCCAGGGAGCCCCTGCTCCATTGGGAGGCGCCTGCCTGGGGCCTGGGCGGCAGCTGGCATCATGCAACCTGCAATTAGTAGGCAGAGGAGCTGGGTGGTGGTGGTAGGGGGTGGGCTGAGCGGCAGCTGGCTCTTGGGTGCTGCCTCTGCCTCCAGCCCTCCACCCACTGCCCCAGAGGGGTGCCCAGGGTGGCTGACAGGCCTGTCGGCACACAGGGCACTGGGGTCGTGGAGAGGATGCAGCGCCCTGGGGAACCAGACGATATGTACAGCACAGTCAGAGTATTGGAAATGGGTTTGGACAACCCAAGTGCTACTGTTCATTTTACAGACCCAGGCATGAGTGGCCAGAAGACATACAGCTACTCAGAAAGCAGCTGCGCCCAGAAACCAAGCTTGTCTGGGTGACAGACTGGGTGGAGGGTCTCACTTCTGCATGTGGATTTCTGCCAGGTAGAGCCAGACTGGGCACAAGCACTTCTGCCGGGAGCAGCTTGGGGAGAGGAGACTTCAGGGCTGCGGTCTCCAGCGGGGAGGTGGGGCAGGGTAGGGGAGGAGGAAGGGTGGGTGGGGCAGCATCTGGCCTAGCAGGTTCTCCAGCCTGGTGAGGCACTCCAGGCCCGGGGAGAGGCCCTGGCTTTACTGCCCCTGGGCAGTTGTGGCTTTGGTACCTGCCATCTGTCTGTGGGACACTTAGCTGTGCAGCAAAAAGTCCTGTTTCGGACCCATCCTGCGGAGTTCTGGTGGACGGCAGTGGGCGCCTGGGGGTGGTTCTGGGTTCAGCCTTCTGTGTCCTGTTCACTCTCCTTTACCTATCCCCTCACCCATCCAGCAGCCCACCCTCACACCCATCCAACCTTCCTTCTCCCCTTGAAAGAATTCTGGGCCCTCCCTGGTGGCGCAGAGGGCTAGGGCACAGCACTGCAAGCTGGCTGCAGCCACTTCAGTGCAAGTTCAATCCCCGCTCCGGAGGTGACCCACGTGGCGAGGAGACAGACCTCTCTTGTCTCCCCGCAGCTCCCCTCAGCAGTGTACTTTATTGATTTGCCTGTTCTGCTCCCCACTCTGTCTCTGGTGAAGCCTTTCACTGCCCCTGCACCTCTGGCTTGTACCCCAGTTCTGTATGTATAAATAAATCAATCTTTAAAAAATAAATTAAAAAAGAATTCTACTAGGCCCAAGGCACTGTACTGGCTGCTGGATTCCATGTCTTCCAGGAGCATCTGAGGGGTGGCAAAAGCAGACAACACTGTGACATCACAATGAGCCAAACAGGGTACACTTTGAAGGCTGCTGGGGTTCTGCTAAGGGAAGAAAATTGTGGGTGCAGGAAGGGAGTCGAGCAGCAGGATATGTGAAATGGAGTGTGGTGGGGCTGTGGGGAGGGCAGGGACCTGACATCAGTGAAGCGGGGGTGGTGGTGGGGGATCACCTTCAGGCGTGCGGGGGAAACCCCCAGGCCGGAACCCCGCCCCACCGTGTGGGTTCAGGATGGTCACCCACTCCTGCCCAGCATGCGTGGTGGCCTAAAGTGGGATGACGAGGGCAGGGCCTACCTCTCAGGGCTGTGCACACACAGTGCGGCTTAGGAGGCCTCAGCTGTTCTCGCAGCCCCCCTTGTGGGGATGAGGACCCCGGGGAGTTCTGCACCCCGAGTGTCCTGAGCTGACTCTACTCACTCTGATTACAGCCAGTGCCTCAGTGTCTTCATCTGTTTAGAAAAACTGGACCAGGCCAGAAGACACTCACACCCCCAGGAGTTTGGCAGTAATATACATGAGGGGGGCTTGGGGTGAGGCTGCAGGGAGTGGTGAGGACTGTGGCCCACCAGGGTGCCTGTACCCCCAACCCAGGGAGCCCCAGCAGTGTGGCCTTGCAGGAGCAGAAGCCTGGTGTGGTCTGAGGTGCTGATTTCTTGACAGAAAGGACCCCACATTTTAATGAGAAAACTTCCCACTAGTAATATCAGCAACACATTAAATAATTTTTAAAGCATCACACGCGCCAAAGCTGATGCTTCTGCTGGCAGATGCTGCTGCCCTCACCAGAGTGACTTGCTCAAGGTAAAGCAGAGCCACGGAAGAACGGGCTGTGATCAGGGCTGCGGTTTGCATTCTGGCCCAGAAACCAGAGATTCTTCTAGCCCTGGGTCTGCAAACGGCCCCCACCCCCACCCCCTCCCTGCACAGTGGAACCAGGAGGCCTCTCCTCACAGACATTCTTGGGAGAGCCCCACCCCCGCCTGCCATGGGGCCCCAGCTCTACACTATCTCACTGAAGGTGCCAGGGAGTCTGGGGGAGCCAGTGGCGCCTGAAGGGTCTGCTCTGTGTCTGGGAATGGCAGATTGGGGCCCGGGAAGGCTGCTGTCAGGGAGAGCCTGGCTCCCGGCTCCCAGGGGTCAAAGGGCACTACTCAGCCTCCTCTGGGACCTACTTCCTGTATGGGAGAGAAAACAGAGACTCCTGGTAGGAAGTGGTCCTCTTCCGGAAGCCCTTTTCTGTGGGCTCTGGTTTGTAGGGAAAGACCCAAGGAGGGGAGATCCTCAAGTCCTGGCCTTTGCCACTCTGTCCTTCTTTGAAGTCAGAAGGGAATATGGACCTGTCTCGCCAGCATCCTGAGTTCAGGGTTACCCTGGAAAACGCCCAGAGCCTGTATTTATTCCCCCAGCTGGGCTCCTGGGCCTGTGCCTTCCTCTGCTCAGCCCCTGGGGCTCTTGCTGCCCCTGGATCTGGGCACTGTGGCCTCAGGGTCCTCATGACTGGGTCACCACCAGAAAGTCATTGAGCACAGCTTCCTACCCCTGCGGCAGGGAGTCCTTTACAGGCTGAATTTAACTGCTGTTTGTTGCCCAGACCCCTGCCGGAGTCCCAGCCTCTCCTCACACACTGCTGAATACAGAAGACTCCCTACCTTACCCACATACTGGGACAGCTTTGGCAGGGCCTCCTTGCACAGAAAGCAGTGGGCGCCAAGGATTCAACCAAAGCATCTCACAAAGGGCAGATTCAGTATAAATCTGCTGGCTGTAAGGCTTAGAAATTAAATATCAAAAATGAAATTTAAATTACCTTTCCTTTCACTACCTGGAAGCAGGGCTAGGAGAAAGATAAAAGGATGTATTATTACCTTGTTCACACCTTCCTCTGGGGCAGCTCCTACCAGGTACCTGCACTTCACCCTTGCACAGGACTCTGCTGGCAAACCCACCCCTTCAGGCCACACCTTCAGGCGTTTCTATAATAACTAACCTTGGCTGCATTTCCCATGAGCTCCTTTAATTCACATGGTGTTTCTATGGGATAGCTAATTCCTAGACTGAGAAACTGAGGCTCGGGGGCCCAGGGAGTTAGCACCCCCAGGGTGGCACAGCCAGAAGTGCAGAGAGCGAAGTCTCCCTCCCAGATCAGAAGTATGCCATGCTTCTTCCCAGCACAGGGGCTGGGTTCCAGACCACTCAGTAGCCCAGACATTCATTCATTCATTCATTCATTCATTCATTCATTCATTCATTCATTTATTCTTTCTTTCTTTCTCACATTCATTCATTAAGCTACTTGACGTTCCTGAGCTCCGGGATGGTGCAGAGGCAGGCTGATGCTCTCGCACGCCTGACCATGGCTACCTCAATCAGGACTACACCCCAAGAACTCAACTCCATTTATTACAAAAGACTGAGCTTATCACATCATCCTATGAACAACTCCTGCACAATTCCTGAGCCCAGAGAGGGCAGCCAGACTGGAGCCCCAAACAGTTCTTCCCCCGCGTCAAGGTGCTGGGTGGTGTGTGTTTCTAGATGAGGCCGTGCAGTGGTTGATAAAACCAGATGGGTCCGGGGACCTGGGTGTGCGTGTGCATATACAAATCAGACCGTGGTCACCCTTCCTTGGGGTGTCGGGTGGGGCCACTGATGCCGCCCCGGGACGAAGGTAGTGGTCCGTGGCAGGGAGTAGAGCCATTCCCAGAGCAGCACGGACCCCCAGTTGATTTAGGCAGCCGCTCAGCCGGGACCCTGGGGGCCTGTGGCCGCTGGCTGGCCTGCTCAACCCCGGGAGGCTCTAGGCCACCTGGATCTGCAGATCCTCGTCCTCATCCAGGTCGCTGGCTCCATCCCCAGCCTCCTCCGCGCCAAAGCGAGCGCTGCGGATCTTCCCGAAGAGGGGGGCGTTCTGCTGCTGTCTGCGGAGCCTGTGGGGTGAGGAGGTCAGGATGGGGGTTGCTGACAGCAGCTAGGCCTCCCCCACACGTCCTCATAACCAGGCATCTCATCTCACATCATCCCCCCAGAAGCCCCTGAAATGAAGGAGGTGCTCCGTCACCCCCATTTTACAGATAAGTAGACCGAGGCAGATTCTTAGGGTAACTGGTGCGAGGGCCTGCAGGCAGCAGGGTTTGGGCTTGCTGGCTGCAGCAGCTGCTTTGGGGTCTCTGCGGGGCTTCTAAGCCCTGCTGGCCCCGGAGACCTGGGGGAGAGTCTGGGTGGGACCTGAGTCTCCTCCGCCCCCATGCTGGTGGCCTTAGTTCTTCCCTGCATGAAAACTCCTAAAGCCAAAATTGACGAGGCAGAGGCACACTTCTCCCGCGAAGGGTGGGCGGCGAGCGGCGCCCTCCCCCAGGAGTGGCGCCTGGTGCATCTTACTGGAAGGCATGAATTATTAACACGGCCGGGAGGGGCTCAGGCGGGGGCTCCATTACTGTGCCGTGATTTAGTGAGCTGTCCCCGGAACATTAAAACACCAAAAGTTGGGAAATAAAATGAGCGGCGGCCCTGGCGGCCCCACCCTCGCCGTGGAAGCACTTCTCAGCCTCGCAGAGCTGGTGGGTCCACTCTGGAGCTGATCGCGCTGAAGGGTGAGGGTGTCCGCTGGGGCGGGGGCTGGCGTGGGCAGAGCGGCCAGACGCAGGCCTGACCTGGAAGTGCGCCTGGCCCCCAGCACACTTCACGGGCCTCGTCCCAGGCAGATGGGGAAACTGAGTCACGGAGGGCCCTGTCACAGAGCTGCGAGCTCTGGCCGCTGGCCTGGACTCTCGGCCGAGCCTCGGCACCCAGCAGCATGCGGCAAATGCTCGGTAATCAGGGCGCCTGCAGCAGGGAGCCATCTCCTCCGGCCTGCTAACTTGTCAGCTGTGTGGTCAGGGAAGGATTTACCCTTCTGGGCCTTAGTTTTCTCATCTGCCAGTCCCCAGGAACACTTTCTTTCCCTTCCCTTCCAAAGGAGTGTGGTCTGTGTAACACAGGACGGGGCTCAAATATAAGCCCTTTCTCCCAGGTGGCAGGAAGAGGGGAGGAGCTGGCAGGTCTCACCACGCCAGGTACTTTATAAGCATGTTTAACTGTCACACCAATGAGTGAGCATCGTCATCATCCACAGAGAGGTTAAGCAGGCGGCCCAAGACCACACAGCCTATGTGAAGAGCTGGGATGCCCCCACCTAGGCATCTGGCTCCATGAAGGGCAAGCATGCCCGGGCCCTGGAAGGGCCAGCCACGCTGGTTAATACAGGCCTGTCTCAGGGCCGGGGCTCCTCCGGCCCTGCCCTCTAACCGCTGAGGTGAACCCAGCCCAGGCTGGGGTGAGCTAGCCCGGGGTGCCCCCAGCCCAGGCGCCCTGGGCACTGCTCTCCTTTTCAGTAACCCCTCTTACCCCTGAGCCCTCCCAGCTACCTTCCCTGGGCCTGACCTCTTTGGCTGCCCTTCCTGCTCTCTGGCCACAGTCCAGGGCTCCCAGCTGGTTCCACTTCCTGCGCTCCCCTTCCCTGGTTTCTGGCCTTGGCCCTTCCACCCTGGAGGGGATGGGATTCAGGCCCAGGGCACCTGGATTGTCCAGCTCCATCTTCTCTCACACCCAACTTTGGGGTCTTCCTGCCGGAACTGCGACCCCTGCCCCCGAGCCCATCCGCTTCCCGGGCCCACCTGGACTGCAGATGCTCCAGCTGCACTTGCAGGTTCTCACTCTGCTCAGTCTGCTCATCCAGCGACCTCTGCAGCTTACGTGCCTGGTTGTGGGCCTCGTCCAGCTGGGGTGTGCAGGGCCAAAAGCACAGGGGTCACCTTGGGCTTGGCCAGCCTGGCCTGCCAGCTCCCTGAGACCCACCACTCCGACTCTTCCCTGGGGGCAGGCCCACTTCATCCAGGGGGGGTCCCTCCGGTCCTCTCCACCCTGCTATCCTTCCTAAGTCCGTCTGCCCTCTGATGCACCAAGATACTGACCCACCCATCAACCCACCTATCCCGGGGATCTATCCATCTGGTCTTTGTCTATGGAGATAACCATCTGCCCGTGGACACCCACTTTCCAAGTCACCATCCACTAATCTCCTCAGCCACCCACTCTCTGTCCATGTCCCAGACACACCTGTCTCCACATCTATCAGCCCTCTGTCCTTCTCTGTGCCCATTCATTCTCCCACTCACTGATCCACTCAGTTCTCTATCCATCTTTCTAATGTCCACCTGGCCACCTACCCACCTACCCACCCACCCACTCATTTACCATCTACCCAGAAATCTACCCCTCCACGCATCTCTCCCTTCATCCAAGCATATGTCCATCCCTCCACCCACCCTACCCATCCATCCTCCTACCCATCTACTGATCCATCCATCCATCCTCCCACCCCCTCACCCACCCACCCATCCATCCACCCGCTCACCCAATCACCCACCCATCTACCCTTCCACCCACCCACCCATCCATCTACCCACCCACCTACCTACCCACCCACCTATCCATTCTCCCACCCACCCACTCCTCCATTCATCCAGTCTCCCGTCAGACACCTGTATTGCACCTTACCCCACGTCCTCCCTCCTGCGCTGGTCCATATGCACACCCCTCCCCCACCCTCCGGTCATCCCTTGTCGGAGTCCTCCTTCTGTCCTTCCATGCAGCCACCTGCACACCCATCCGCTCACTCATCCACTGACCCAGCCGCCCCTCCCTGCCTGTCCAGTTTTCCCCTTGCTCTTCTACCCGTCCACCTCTTTCCCGCCCCTCTGTTGCCCACTCTCCCACTGAGCCTGGGCACCTCCTGCAAGGGAGGCAGGGAAGCTGGCACACAGGAGGGCTGCAGGCCGCGCCCACCCCAGCCAGGCGCCAAGGCGGCCCTCGGGGCCCCAGGGAGTGCTCACCTCATCCTCAGCTTGGGCCAGCTCTTTCTTGAGCTCCTCCACCCGCAGCCGCAGCTTCTTCACCTCTGCCTCGTGCTGCTCCACCCGCCGGTTGGCATGTGCCAGCTCCGCTACCTTCTCCTGGAACTGTTTCTTCAACTTGCCATGCACGTGCTTCAGATCTGCCAGCTCCTGCAGGGGAGCGGAAGGCAGGGAGGGCTCAGCTTAGAGGGCAGGTGCTAAGGTATCCCACATGGTCAGGCAGTTCTAGGGGTGCTAGCTCTGCCCTGTCCCCAGCGTCTTCCTACCCACTGAAATACCAGCAGTGGAGACTGAGCAGAGCAGATAGTGGCCAGAGGTGGCATCTGGTAAGGTGAGAAGGCCACAACAAGGGGAAAAGACCGCAGATGGAACCAGGGGCTCCATTCTGGGTGTAATGTGGGGTTCTGGGGACGGTGTGCAGTGTGCCACCAAGCTAAGAGTCAGGGTTTCTGGCCGGGGGGTGAGGTCTGGCGTCTTCAGCATGCGCACAGCATCTAAAGCCCTGGAGCTGGGGATGGACTCAGCTGGGGCTGGTGTTAGGGGCTTCGGTGCTGGGTGCCTGGGAAGATGCCCCTTCCAAGTTCTGCGGCTCCTCCCAGGCTGTTTCACGCCTATACTGGCCTCTGGGCCTGTCATACAGGGGGTGCTTGATACCAGCAGCTACTGCAGCTGCCACCCTGCCTGGCCCATACAGGGCGCCTCTGCTTCAGTTGTTACTTCGGGGGTCCCGGGAGCCCTGGGGCTGGTGATCTGTCCTGGCTGGCTGGGGAGGCAGGTCCACCCCAACCCTGGCCAACCTGCTGAATGCCTCACCTTGTTCTTCTCAAAGAGCGCGGCCTGGCTGGCCCGCAGGTCGCAGTCCAGGGCGCTGGCCGTCTGCCGCCTTCGACGGGCCAGGGCCTCCTCCAGGTCCCCCACCTGCGCCCGCAGCTTCTTGTTCTCCCGCTCCAGGCCCAGCTTCTCAGTTTCCAGCCGCTCGCGGCGACCCCACTCGGCTGCGTTCTCCGCCTGCAGCCGCTCCATCTGCAACAGGCCAAGACAGGGTGAGGGCTCCATAGGCACCGGCAGGAAGGGCCAGGGCTGGCTGCCCCCTCCCCCCATCCTGTGGCCGTTTTTGGTTCCAGGAAGCAGATCCAGCTGCGGCGGCTAAAATTAACCTGGGCTTATTGCACTGCGCATAGGAAGTAAGGGCACTGGTCTGTGCGTGGGAGGCTTCCCCTGCAGACCCGGTACCCTAGGGCCCAGGCCTGGTTCTTCCTGAGCTCCCCCAGGGTGACTGGCTGATGGAGGCAGGGCCCCTGGCTCGCCAAGCCCCAGGTGCCCCAGGGCGCCTCACCTCACCCCTCAGCTCAGCCATCTTCCTGTCCATGCTGGATCTCGCGCCCAGCTCATCCTCCAGGTCCTCGGACATGCGGCCCAGCTCGTCCTGATGGGCCTCCTTCAGGATGCTCAGCTGCACGACACAGTCCAATCTGGTTACTTGGGGGCCACTCATCGGCCCCCAGAGCCAGCTTCGGGCACGGGGGCTGGCACAGGGACACGCAGCAAGCGGTCTGCGTGTAGTAGCCGCATGTATCGAGCACTGACCCGGAGGCCTGTGGCTATCCACGCCAGCCCTGCCACTAACCACGTCTGCCACTGGCAGCGTCACTCACCTACTTCATTACTCCAAGCCCCCCAGTGGCTGCCCTTGGCTCCCCATCAACCTGTTTTCTACAGCAGCCCAGAGCTTTGCAGAAAGATAAATTCACTCATATCTCCATCCTCAGTTTCCTTCGGGTAAAGACCAACCCTTTCTATGGTTTTACAGGCCGGGTGTGATCCGAGCCTCCTGGGCCCCTCCCACGTGGCTCTCCTTCGCTCACCATGCTCCAGGGGCTGTGACAGCCTTGCTACCCGCCCCCCCCCCCCCACACACTGCATCCTCGCCCACCCCAGGGCCCTTGCACGGGGGACTCCTTCTGCCTGACACCCCTGTCTCGCAGGGCTGACTTTTCTCCCAGGTCTTGGCCTGAGTGCCTCCTCTGTCTCCACCCCATGCCCCACTAGAACGTGGGCTCGAGGACAGAGCTTATCTGCCTCCCTGCCTTTGTCCCTCTGTATGGCCGTAACACAGGGGAGCCTGCAGCGTATGCTGGCTGAATGCACGCCATGGATCTGAACATGGGCCTGCATCAGAATGAGCCCAGGGTGCTTTGAAGAGAAGGCAGATTCCCTGTTGGACAGCAGGAGCGCCCCCAAACTATAATCCCTGCACGACACAGTGAGACTTAAGGACGCCTTGGGGAGGCGGGTAGATACAAGAGGGAATCCTCACCCGTGTGTATTCATCTGAGGCATGTTCCTGTGTTACTCACTTTGCTTCAAATAGTTGTGCATTTGGAACAAATTAAGAAGACAGAGCTCTGGATCCAAACCCAAGAGTCTGATTCAGAGGAATCTGTGTCCCCTCCCAGGCAGCTGCAAGCTCTGTCTGAGAGCCTCCCACCTGCTGGCAATAGCCCTGCTTTTTTTTGGTGGTGGCGCCCCCTGGTGGCCCTGGGGACCTGCACAGGAGGGGCCAGTCCTCAGCCTGCCCTGACTCTCCTCCTTAAGGTGGTGAGATCCTCTCCGGAGCCTCAATTTCCTCATTGGTAAGATGGGAAATCAGCCTCTTTAATTGCCGCAAGGCTTTAGGTACCACGGGGGTCCCATGCGGTGTGTCTGAGGGATGGAAAGGAGGTCACAGTCCCTGGAGCATAGTGAACAAAGGGAAGCACTGTGGAGGCGAGGCTGAGAGAGGGGCTGAGTTTGATGGAGCTGGGCTGTGGAGTCGGCCGGCTGGGCCCAGCGTGTATTACGAGCAAGCGTCTCCCTCTGTTCTCATCTGCAGGGTCCCCAGCTGCTCTTAAGGCCTCATCTGCCACTCACTACCCTCTAGGCACACGAGCGTCTCTTTCCACACACACTAGGTCTGCTCTGGCCCCAGGGCCTGTGCGCCTGCTGCCAGGCATGGTGCCCCCATCTCTCCCAAGGACGGCTTCTTCTAATCCCGTTGCCTCAAATGCCACCTTCCTGGGGAGGCCTCTTCTGACCCACCCTCCCATCACGTACTCTGTTTGGCTCCTTCATAGCTTATGAATGTATCTGCCCGGTTACCCCTGGCCTCTCCCCTCCCCCATAGCTGGTGTTCCGCACTGAATGAAAGAATGCAAGTCCTTGTTTTTCTCCCATTCGCACTGTTTGCAATTCTATGGTCCAATGTTGCTTCCTCCAGGAAGCCACCCTGTCTCCAAGACTCACCTGCTTGAGCATCTCCTGCTTAGTCTTGCTCAGTTCTTCGTACTTGATCTTCCACTGGCTGAGCTCTCCTTCCAGTTTCTCAATGTTCCTGCTCAGTGCCAGCTTGTCTCTGGGGAGGAGAGTGGGTGGGGGGGTCACATGTGGGGTGACTCAACCAGAGCCCTCCACCCAGTTCTGTAATTTGCACCTCTCAAATCCCTTGTTTTGGCATTCAAGGCTCTAACACTGCACTATGTGGAAGACACCCACCTTTTGAACTTCTGCTGGAACCACACACATACACAGCTTCAGGTGCCCAGCTCTCAGCATGGGGAGGTGACCAGGTCCCCAAGGTGCTGGTCTTCCTCAGGCAAGTGCCTCCCTCTCTCTAGGTCTTGGGCTCATCTGCCCAATGTGTCCCCAGTTCTGGGTTGATGGACTATGGATCCCTGTCAGCCCTGGACTGAACACAGGATTCTGCAGACAGAGAGCTGACATACACCACCCAGTGGCTTCTCGAAGAGGAGGGCTGGGTGTACTGGGAGGGGTGCCCATGTTCCGCTCTGAACAGGAGTGTGGCGCCATGGGTAACGCGTGGTGCATCACCCACACAGTGCCTGGCCCTGGCACACAGTAGGTGCTCAACTAGTGGCTCTGCTTATGACTGTACTGCAGTGGTGGGCTTCATGAGTTGGCACCTTGGTGCTCTCTCTTCCTGAGTCTAACTTTTCACACACTAACAAGGGGATCCTCAGAGGAGACACTTCTAGGAGGCTTGTTAGAAATCCACTGTGAGGCCCTCCCTGGTAGCACTGGGTTATACCACAGCACTATGAAGCTCTCTACAGCCGCTGCAGCACAAGTTCGATCCCCAGCCAGGGAGCTGACCCACATGGCGCAGGGGAACTATCTCACCTGCTGCTCCCCTCAGTAGTGTATTTCAGTCAGTCGGCCTGTTCTGCTCCCCACTATGTCTCTGGTGGACCCTCTTACTCACCCCCTCCCACCTCTGGCCTACACCCCCCAGCATAAATAAATCTTAAAAAAAAAAAAAAGAAATCTACAGGGGTGTTCTGATGATCAGCATGATTGGGGGTCATTGAGGGGAAGAAATGACCAAATGCAACTCTTCTGCCCCTGTGGGAATGATCCCCTTGGAATCCGGGGGTGAGAATGATCTGAGCCCAGGAACCCCATCCGGCTTGTATTAACAGAGTTTTCCAAGAACTTCATCACTGTATGTATATGAGTTGAGTGAAAATCACATTTTTGCTTTGCTCAGAACTTTCTCTCATATACTTGAGTTGCCAATCCCCCAGACCGACACCGGCAGCTTTTAGCTGTCTGGGGAGGGCCAGGGGCCAGGAGATTCAACCTCGGCCCAGCACCTGGCCTGGAGTCTCTCCTGCATGGGCATTTTCAATGACGGCTCTGCTGGCTGCCCATGGGGCTTGCTCCCGGGGTTCTAACTTAGCGCTTCTTTTGTGAGCACTTGTTTTGTTTCAATAGAAAGTTTTGTCTCCCAGTCCTGCACACTGGAAGTCCAAGCTCACAGTGTGGGCAGGGCTGGTTTCTCCAGAGGGCTGGGGGAGCACTCCCTGTTCCACACTCTCCCCTAACTTCTGGAGGTCTGCTGGCAACCTTTGGTGCTTCTGGGCTTCTTGACGCATCCCTGACCCCTGCCTTCATCTTCACAAAGGCATGATGTTGGACTGAAAAGGAAATGTGATGTGTGCACACAGGTTACGCTCTCTATGCACTTGCATTTAATTTCTGCATCGAGAAGGGGGTGCTGTGGTAAGGTCACTGGGGACTTTCACATTCTCAGTGCTCAGTCCTCGTCTCGCTTGCCCCACTAGGAAGTTTCTCCTGATTTCCCTGCCTTTTTTTTTTTTTTAACACTGATTTATTTATGCGTACAGAACGGGTGCAGGGGCAGGGAGAGGATTCACTATAGGCAGAGTGGGGAGCAGAACAGGCAGATTGACTGCAATCCACTGCTGATGGGAGCAGCAGGAGAGGTCTGCTGCGCCCTGTGGGTCATTCCCTGGCCGGGCATCGAACTCGTGCTGCAGCGGCTGCGGACAGCTTCACAGTGCTGTAGCTGTGCCCCCACGGCGGGCCTTCCCTGCCTTTGTACTGGCTGCTTCGCCTCTGCTGCTTCTCTTTTTTGAACCAACCTGCAAACTTCCTGACCTCCCTCTCTACCCTCGCTTGGGCTCACTGGCCTCAGTATCGGCTACGCACTGCTGACGCTTGCACTTTCCCCTCCAGCACCCTTCATGTATCAGCCTGTCTCCCTGCCACCTCAAACTCAGGTGCCCCAAACCCAAGACCCCGCTGCAGCCTTGTAAGCTCCCTGAGCCTCCTTCCCTGCCTTTTCCTTTGCCTACGCTCCCCCGTGAGAGCAGAAGCTCCCCACAGGCAGGGCCTTTTGGTCTTGCTTATGTCTGGACCCTCACTGCGGAGCACAGCGCAGATGCATACTGCTTGCATGAAACGACAAATCAGTGACGACAACAGTAAACTTGCCTTGGGTACCTGGGCAGCGCGGCTCTGAAGTTCTAAGACTCGAGCCCACAGGTCCCACATTCAGCGAGCCTGACAGACCAAACCCTGGAACTTCACTCTACTTCTGAGGGGGCCCGGGGTTCCCTGGCTGCCACCCCGCCCCCCGCCCCCGGCCCCCGGCACTCACTCTCGCTCCTTGAGCAGCACCTTCTGGGACTCATCCAGCCGTAGCCGCAGGGCGGTCAACTTGGAGGCATCTTCTTCGGTGGCCACTGTGTCCTCCCAGGGTAGCCGGCTGCGTTCCTGGCGGCCTGAGCTGCCCCGGGGCGCCCCGGCGCCCACGCTGCGTGCCTCCCAGCAGCCCTCGGGCTCCTCTGGTCTGCTCTTCAGCAGGTTCTCCACCAGTTCTAGCTCCTGTGGGGACCAAGGTGGAGGCTGGATCACAAAGCGGAGCCCTCTTGGCCTTCCTCATGACCTCACCAGGCCCACAGCTGGGTGGGTCCCCTGGGCAAGTCGCATGGCCCTTTGGGTCCCCATTTCCTCCTCTGCTGCCTGCTTCTCCATCCCTGGAGAGGGAGAGACGCCTTCCCTGCACCTCCTGGAACGGCACAGTCAGGCGCAGGGCGGCCTGCGTCCCAGGATGTCAGCGGTAGTGTGCAGTCACACGGTGGCGCCGTGCGGGGTAAATGCTGGAGCAGGGATTGCTGCAGCCTGCATCCCACAGTGGGTGAGGACCTTCTCCTCCAAAAGGAGCTGCAGCTCCCACTTTCCAGGGGCAAATGCCAAGGCGCACAGCAGGTAAGTGACGTGGAAAAAGAGGCCTCAGAAGTAAGGTGGCACCTGGGAGCCCGGTCAGCTCCCGGACCGGCAGCTGTGATGTGGCACCCCTGCCCACTCCAGCCTCTTCCCCTGCCCCTGCAGGCCCCGGCCCTTCTCTGGCCACAGACCAGAGACACCCGTGGCCTTTGTTCCAGCCTGACAGCTCCCACCAGCGTTTCCACAGGAGTCTGAATCAGTTTCTTCCCTCCCTGGTCCTATCAGCACGCACAGAGGCCCCAGGAGTCCCTGAAAAATGAGATTCTGGGCCCTCCCTGGTGGCGCAACGGTTAGGGTGCAGCACTGCAAGCAAGCAACAGCTGCTTTAGTGCAAGCAGCCACTTCAGTGTGAGTTCGATCCCCGCCCCAGAGGTGACCCACATGGCGCGGCAGACCTCTCCTGACCCGCTCCCCTCAGCAGTGTTATTTCTGATCTGCCTTTTCTGCCTCCGGCTCTGTCTCTGGTGAATCCTTTTACGGCCCCTGCACCTCTGGCCTGTACCTTAGTTCTGTATGAGTAAGTAAATAAATCCTTTAAAAAAGAGAGATTCTGCTCCCTGTATCTCAGACTGCTGGGGTGGGGCCCCTGGAAACCATCTGGCTCAAAACCCTGCTGCACATGAGGAAACAGGGCAGATGGGACTTGTCCTGGCTCACAGAGCACAGAAGTGACCAGGCTGGAGGCACCTCCAACCACATCCCCAGGCTCCGTCCGCTGACCCTGCCAGCCTCAGGGCACAGTGAACTTTCAGCTCTGCTCCTAATGCATGCCTCAGAGGCAAGCATTTAGTTTCCACTCTTGCTCAAAGGTACATCCTTTGGTTCTGCGGCTCCTGGGGTGTGAGTGGACAGATTCCAGAACGTGGGACTCTCCCCTGTGAGGGGGCCCGGGAAGGGAGGTGACCTGGGGCCCAACCTAACCACTTGACCGATACAGCCAGACCCGTACAATCTCCTTTGAGCAGGCAGCCGCCACTTGGGCCCAGCCTGGTCAGCACATCCTCCTTCTCCACAGCTAAGGTCCTGCCAGGAGCCCCAGGCACCCAGCCCCACCCCACACACCCGGCACACCTGGCTGCCCTGTGGCCGCTCTGACCCGACGTCGCGCACCGGCTCGTGCTCCCTCTCTGGCTCCGTCTCGGGACCCTCGGTCCTGTCAGCCGCCTCCCGGGCGCCGCGTAGCCGCGCCAGTTCTCGGCCCCGGGCCTCGCACTCGCCCTGCGCCTCCTGGCGCTCGCGCCGCGCGCCGGCCAGCTCTTTGGTGAGCGCGTCCAGGCGCTGGCGCAGCTGGCGCACCTCCTCGCGCGCGCGGTTGCGCTCGGCGCGCACCTTGCTCCACTTCTCCCGCCAGTTGGCAGTGCAGTCCGACCACCAGCGCATGGTCTTCTCCATCTGCGCGGCCCGCGCCCCCGTGCCTCCTCCAGCTCCCGAAGCCGCAGCTCCTCGCGGCTCTCCCAGTCCCCGTCCGCCAGGAGCGCGGGCGGCGGCAGCGGCAGCGCGGGCGGCGGCCCCGGGGAGGGCGTGCCGCTGGACGGCGTGGGCGGCAGGGAGTCGGCGGGCCCCATGCGCTCGGGCGACGGGCTGCCCAAGATGGTCAGGAGGCTGCCCTTGGACAGCTGCGGGGACTCGACCAGGCGGGGGCTCGCCCCGTGGCTCATGGTGCCGCCTTGCTCGAGGGCCCTGGGCTAGCACGCAGGGGCCAGACTCAGGGGCAGGAGGACAGACACAAGGTGGCAGCGACCCGAGGCATGACGGCACCCACTGTCCACCGTTCGCTTGGTCACCGATGGGGATGCCTCCTCGGACCTGTGGGAAAGCACAACCGTGTTATTATTATCTATTCCTATCCATGAGGACCCAACAGCAGAGGAAACAGGATGGACAAAGGTTGGGGGTGGCGGTGGGGGTGGAGAAAACTGCTTCCAGTGAAGCGCTGCTGCCTCCAGTCCTCCGGTCCCCTCACCCTGCAGCAGTGGCAGCTGGTTTGCCACCTAGTGCTGCAGGTCCCACCTCACACACTCTATTGCTCCTCCTCCCCCAGCTGCCCGGAGGCCCCTCCCTGCCTCTGCCCTCACCGGGCTCTTTTCATCCTTAAACTGTATCAGAAAAATCACCTCCTGGCCCTCCCTGGTGGCACAACAGGTTAAAGCACAGAACTACAAAGCTAGCCAAAGCCACTCCAGTTGAGTTCGATCCCAGCCAGGGAGCAACACACATGGCTCAGCAGAACTCTCCCGTCTCACCCGCTGCTCCCTTCAACAGTGTTGATCTGCTTGTTCTGCTCCCCACTCTGTCTGGTGAATCCTCATCCCCCACACCTCTGGCCTGTATCCCAGTTACGTATGCATAAATATGTGAATCTTTTTCTTTTTAAAAAACATTTATGTATTTATTCATATGGAACTGGGTGCAGGCCAGAGGTGAGAGGCGGTGAGAGGACTCGCCAGAGACAAAGTGGGGAGCAGAACAGGCAGATCAAATGAAATACACTGCTGAGGGGAGCAGTGGGCAGAGAGGTCTGCTGTGCCATATGGATCATCTCCATGGCAGGCGGGGATCTAACTCATGCCAAAGTGGCTTCAGCCTCCCAGTGCTGTGCTTTAACCTGCTGTGCCACCAGGGAGGGCCCATGTGAATCTTTTTTTTTTTTTTAAATCACCTCCTCCTAGGGGTCCTCCAGGATCACCTTAAGCCAAGTGGGCAGCCCCTGCCTGTCACCACCCCTACACAGCCAACTTCCTGCCATTTCTCATTGTTCTTGTCTGCTCCTCATCATCGCCCCAGGCTGTGAGTTTGCTGAAGGCAGGGGCTGGCTCCTGGTCACCTTTTTGATGTACATGATGACACAATGACAATGCTTTTGTGGAGGGCCAACTGCAGCATGTGAAATCTCATGTATTCCCCTCAACAGGGACCAAGATGACGATCATCATTTACCGAAGAGGAAAGGAAGGCTCAGCAAGGAGACGCCTAGAGTGGCTCCAGTTAGAGTATCCAGGAGCTTAAATACAAACCTACCAGGGCCTGTGAGTCCACAGCATGCCGGGTCTGCTGGAAACGAACCATCTATACTAGTAGGTGAGCAGTATGCACCCCCACACTGACTGCTGGGCTGTTTATGGGCCACACCCCCTTTAAAATGAGTGAGATACACGCCCTCTGGCTCCAAACTGCTCCACTTTCCCTCCATATTATGTGTGTGGGGGGGGTGGGGGGGGGGGACTGAGCCTTCCCTGCATCCCTAAGGCCTGGCCTGAGAGCCACCCCCCTTTCTGAAAGGCCAGTCAGGTGGGGACTGTCAACACTGCCTGCACCAACATGTCCCCCTCCCACCCTCCCCCGCTCCGGGCAGGGACATGAGGTGACAGTTGCAGTGAAGAGGGAAGCAGGTTGACACTCCCTCCCTGTCCTGCCCTGGCCCTCTGGCCCCTCCTCTCTGCGCCTGCAGACAGAGGGCTTCTCCCTCTTGGGGTCAAAGACCCCCCACTCAAGCTTCTCCCACTCCTGCCTATGATGCTTTCTCAGGGGTCTCACCCCCTCTGACATCTCTCCTGGCACTGAACTCATACAGTACCATCTAGGTTCCACACTCCAAAATTCTTCAGTCCTCAAAGTGCTCCAGCTAGTTCCAGCTGCCTCTGCCTCCCATTCCCCCTTGCTCAGCTCCCCATTCCCCCTTGCTCAGCTCCCCTGATCCTGCCTTTAAGTCCTCAGTGTCCCCCTGCTGTTCTGGTCCCTCCAGGCATGTCAGCCCGTCACTTCCATCAGCTCTGCGCTCCGCCTGCCCTTGTGAACCAGTGTCAGTTCACAGCTGGTGTCCGGTGGCCCGGCCATCCTACCGCTCTCCCTGGTGTCCGCCTGCTGCCAGGGAGCCGCTCTAGGCTCAGCTCTGGCCCGACCTGTGAGTCACTGCCCCTCCTGGGCTTAGCGTCTCTACCTGCAGTGTGGGGGCAGAGGTGAGGGAAACCCGCACCCCTTGGTCAAGGGGTCCTGCATATTCACCTGGCTACCTGCCCTGCCCCTCAGTCACATTCTGGGAACTTGCACTTGAACAGTCCAGCTTTGGGATATTTAAGTGTTTGGTGATACCTTCCTAACACCCCCAGTTCTACACACATGGCCAGGTGTGTCCCAGCCCCAGTAACACCTGCACAAAGGCACACACCCAGACACAGCTGTGAAGATGTAAATTCTCATGCCCTGTGTACCACTGACACCCCGGGGCCCATGGACGCCAGCAGGCTGAGTGGCCTGTCTGTGACGAGTCTCTCCCCTGTGCAGTGAGGTGTACCTGTATACCTGTATACATGCAGCAAGCCCGCAGGCATAAGTACAGCTGCAGAAACATAGGTGGACACGCATGCTCAGAGCTGGACCACGCACTCATACACCTGTACAGGCAGACTCTCCTGTGCCCCGAGTTGCACCCAAAGACACACTCGCCCCAACACGGAGTGGAGACAGACAGCAAAGACACAAACATCCCTGAGACAAACACCCCCCCCACATACACATAAACATGCACACGCTCACTCGCACGCCTCGTCTCCCCATTTTCCTGGCCCAGCTCCACATGGAGAAGCTCTTGGAAAAGAAAAACAATGTGCAAGCTTGTGGGGTAGGGGGGGAGGCAGGAAGTCCCAGCGCCGCCCCACAGCCCCCCCTCCCCCAGGAGCTGTGCTCCCCCAGGAATGAGGGGTGCTGAAGGCCCTTCCTGTACCCCTGAGTTGAGAGGGCAGTGGGGAGGGGGTCACTGCCACCTCCTTTCTGCCCCTGTTTGCTGCCAGGCCTGGCATGGGGCTCGGCAGGGAGGTGCTCCTTCCAGGGACCCCAAGCCGTTCATGCAGGGGCAGGGCCGGTGCCACCCAGGCCCCTAATGGTTTCCAGGCGCCCACGCTCACGGCCGGGGTGGGCTCCTGCTCCCCTTCAGCCTGGCCTGCCCCCACCCCTGTGGGCTGGGAGAGGAGGAAGGGGTGTAGTAGGGACAGAGAGGCTCTGAACAGCCCTCCAGCCATTCCTTCTGCTGATCTGGGGTCTCCTGGAGGAGAACAGGGTGGGGGGTTCTATGATGGGCTATCTGGAAAAGCCTCCGCCCCGACCCCCCGACACACCAGGAATCCTGCACTCCCACGTAAGCTCAAGGGTAGCCAGACCCAGCCTGGAAATGTCTCCCCTCCCTCCCACCCCACTCACATTACATAGCCTTGGGGACCTGTACTCACACACAAGCCCCAGTAACAGCCCACGGCCCACACTCACCGAAAGTCAGGGGTCACAGAAACTGACTCCAGCTGTCCTGCCCTGCCCAGGGCCTCTTCCCAAGGAAGTTGTGTGCAAGCCGTGGGGGTGGCCTCCCAGTTTCCCCAGGGCATCACCACCCCCAGGAGCAGGCTGGGGAGAGACTGGCCACTGCTGGCCTCAAGGAACCTTCCTTACCCAGGCCTCCCCTCCCCTGCCTCCCACCAGCCGGACAGCGGGGTCTGTTCCTGCGTAACTATCAGGGCTTCTGTTCAGGTTATGTCCCCTCTCCCAGACTCAGAACCCCCCACCCATCCTTAGGCTCTGTTCTGCCACCTCCAGGAAATGCTTTGAAGTCCCCAGCCCCCCCTGCAGCAGGGGTGGGGGGGTAGGCGAGTGGGGAGGAAGCGCAGTCAGACAGCCTCCCACAGCCGGATCTGACCAGCTGCCCCCTCCTCACAGCAGGCTTCCCCTGGCCCAGATGGGACGCTTGTGCCACCAAAGCCACCGTGGCCTACATGGCTTTGCTTAAAGTTGACTGGTGGGGTGGAGGGCAGGAGACTGAACCAGACCTTGCGTCTCTTTGGTTGAACGCAGGCTTCAGTGGGATGCACCTCAGCGAATCCCACCTGAGGGCAGAAATAAGAAATGTTTTGATCTGATACTCAAGCTAGGCTCTCACAGAAAGTAGCTGGTGGATCCTACACTTAGGGATCTGTCTGGAATGTCTTCCTTTTTTGGTCAGCAAACTCCTATACGCCCTTCAAGACCCACCTTGAGCTTCTCCTCTGGGAAGACTTCTCTGCCCTCAATGCAGAGTATGTTAATGTGCCCAAAGCACTGGTACCTTCCTGTTCTTTACCAGTGACCATGCTGTGAAGTCCATGTGGGCATTGTGGTCTCACTGGCTGTCAGCAGGGCCCCAACATACAGCAGACGCAGCATAAATGCTTCCCAGACTAACAGACTATTAGGGGTCTACTTGTGAGCAGGCAGGGCCAAGTCAGCCTAAGGATCAGGAGTCAGTTTGCAGCCAGGCTCTGAGACAGGTAGGTAGTTGAGCCTATCTGTGGCCAAGGTCAAGGTAGAGTTTCCCTGACATCCAGGTCCGAGGTCAGGCCTCTTACCTGAGAAGGCCTAACTGACCCACAGCAGGGACAGTTTTGTATTTTGTCCTTAGCATGTTTAGATGAGTCTCTCATGGAACAAGAGGTGTGAGCAATGCCAAGGCCTGGATGGGGTCCAGTGAGGGGACCTGGGGGTACCCTGTGGTCTCCATCCAACTTAAACCCACCCTGTTTTCCCTGAATCTTTCAGGTGGGGCCATGGGGCTGGCCTGTGGCCACAGGACTGGCTGTGGGTAGGGAGCAGAGCCCGGCAGGAAACCACAGAGGCCAGCCTGATTGAATAAGTGCAGGGTCCAAGGATGGCCAGCCCGCAAGCTGTGGGCACCTGGCCCTCTGACCTGCTGCTTGGGCTGCAGCCACTGGACCTCCAGGCTGAGCCTTCAGGCTGGACCTGAACCCAGAGGTACCCCCATCTCAGATCTAGGAACCCTAATGATATCCTAGGTTGCTGCTACTTCCTTTCTTTCTTTGCACATGGGTTAACTGAGGCCTGAGGAGTAGCTCCTTGTCCTTGTCCACATGCCTATGGAGGGCCTGCGGGGGGTGAGGCCGGGATTTGATGCTTTCCTCCTGGGTGATGACTCCCTGAGTACTACCTACATTGGTGGGGTCCTTAGGCATCAGGCCAAGGGGACAAACAGCTGGTCTGGAGGGTGGAAGCCCTTCATGGCAGCCCACTCAGCCCAGGGCCTCTCAGCAGCTCCTTCAACTACTCAGCCCACTAGTCCCAGCTCTGAAGTGCTGTGTGCGATCTGCAGGCCCCTGGCCTTTCTGGGCCTGTCTTCACCAGTATGATGCACGGGGAGGCAACTAACAAGATTTCTAAACGCTCTGTCCAGCCAGTGGTCAGACTATGTGCCAGCCTGAACCACCCCAACCCCCACAACAGCCCTGTGCCATCCACACTTAGGAAACTGAAGCCCTAGTGGGAAAGTGGGGACGAGGGCGGCCTCCCTCCCGTGCCTTCGCCCCAACTTGTCCGGGCTCCTAGAAATTCCCTTTCTAGAAGCCAAGAGTGGCTTTGGTCCTCGCTTCCTCACCCCCCTTCCCAGCTGCCCCGTCCGGCGAACCTCTAGGCTCCTCCTAGCCAGCGCCGGCGGGAGGGGGCTCCCGGAGTCCGAGCGGGCGGTCGCCCGCCCCAGCAGGCGGTCCCCATTGGCAGCCACCGCGGGCGCGGAACTCCGATTGGTTCGCGCCTCCCGTCCATCCCGCACTCGCCATGGTGACCACGTTGGGTCCCCCGGGAGAGTTCCGAATTCCGCCCCCGCCCGCCGCCCCCTCCGGTGGGCCAGGCCAGCGGCATTCCGGAGGCTGCCCTGCCCTCCCCTGCGAGCCCCGCAGCCCCCCACTCCCGAGGCCCGGGGCCCTAGACATGGAAGAGCTGGGAAGTTCTGCGAGTTTGGGGTTTTGGCGGACACGGGAACCCCCGCGGCTCCCCTAGCCTCCAGCACGCCCCCAACTTAACCACGTCCCTCCCGCGGAAAGTTCGCCGCCTGGAGGGTGTTCCCGGAACGCGAGGGCTTTCCGGGCCCTGCGCTGCCGTCCCCGCTCACCTCGGCCGGGGACCCGCGGGCTCCGGACGTCCGACCCGCTTCGACTGGGCGGAGCGGCAAGGGGCTGACTGCAGCAGCCGCCGGGAGGGAGGCCGAGGGTGGGCCGCGGAGTCTCCTCCTCCCTCCCGAGGGGAGGGGAGGGAAAGGAGATGGGCGGGGGTGTCGGGGGTCCCCAGCCAGTGGCGGCCCCGCGGTGCCTCCCGGCCTCCGCGTTGCTGGGGTGGGGGCACCAGTTTAACTGGGGCAATGGGCGCGGCCAGCCTGGCCGGCTTTGCTAGAGATCGCTGGACCGGTCAGCGGCTCCACCCCGCCTCCCGCGTGGGGACCCGGGTGGGGGGACCGGAGGCAGAGTCTGAGGGCCCCTCGGCTTTCCTGTCTTGGGTTTCCTCGGCGCCAAACGCGTACCAGCGGCCAGGCAGCCGTAGTGGGCACTGCCTGGTTCAGGCCCGCACGTGGTGCGAGCTTACTACGGGCCCACTTTCATTGCCTGCCTTCTTCCTAGTGCCAGCCTGCAGTCCCCTGGATGTGGATTAGCAGATCCAGCGTGCCCCCCCACCCCCCGGCCTCTTTGCACAATAAGAGTGTTGGTCAAATTAACGTGTTGAAAATCTTGACCCGTTTGGTTTTGGATCTTGTTCCGAGGTATCTCCTGTCCACAGCAGGGCTGGGACAGGCAGGCGGGCGTAAAGCCCCCTTCGGTTGGCCCTGGTGCCCTAGCATGCCCCCAAGTGTGCACCCAGCAGCTTCTGGGCCTTCTCCCTTGGGAGCAGGGTGTTTGTGGTTTGGGCTGGAGAGGCAGGCTAGGAGTCTAGGCGGCCTCTCCTCACCACATCCTGTACCTGGATTCACTGAGGTCCTCTTAAAAGAGGACCAAACATTGACCAGGATGGAATCCCTGCTTCGCTGGGCTTTAGGTGTGAGAAGAAACTAGAGATGAAGATAAAGTAGTTGCAGCATATTTAGATTAAGCTTGCAGCCATGCACAGGTTACCATGCAGCAAGAATGAAAAGTACTGTCCTTGTTAGGGGAAGAGGGTCATTTTGGCCAAAATACTTGGGGGTTCCACACCCAAGCGTTTCTCAGTCCTTTGACAGACAAGTCTCTGGAATTCTCTTTCTCTTAATTATGTTCTCCTCCTCCTCGGGCAGCTGCTGCCCTATTTGTAGTTCATCATCTCCGTCAACCCCACAAAATTCACACTTTTTGCAAGACAGGCAATTTCAGTGGTTAGTTCATTTGTGTGGTTAAACAAACCACTGGTAGTTTCTGACAGCTGGAGACCAATTTTGGTGGGGCCATGCGTTGCTTGAGAGAGAACTGGCTTGTAGATTTGCAGTGTCTGGCCAGAATTCACTGTGCTGCTGGCACCTGTGGCATTCAGGCCTTCCGTGCTTAGAGGGCCAGTGCCCACTTGCACACTGGGGAAACACTTCTCGCTGAGACTTCCCACAGCCCCACGGCCAGTAAGGACAGCCATGGGCCAGTGCTCTTTCCCAGAGTTTCTGGAGGTGGGGCCAGGGGTGGAGAAGGTGGAGGAGGCTGAGTTGATGGAGAGCCTAAGTGCCAATGGCAGCATCCTCACAGCTGGCAACCCCTCTCCTTAGAGAAGAAGCAAAAGTACTGTCCTAGGGCTGTCTCCTGCAAAGGGCAGGGGCAAGAGGTTGGCCAGGGGGTGCCCCACCCCCTACCCACCTTGACTGGGTATTGTTATCTCCTAGTGAGGATCAGAAGTTAAGTGGCAGCCCAGGGTCAGAATCACCTCCACACTTGTGCTCCTGCAGCCACGCCCCTAAGCAGCCTTCAGTGTGGGATGCTCCCCCCCCGCCCCCACCCAGGGGCTTCTCTCTCCAAGTCAGCACACCGGGGTGTTTGGCGGAGGCTTGCATTCCCACCCTGCAGTGTTCCCTGGCCCCTACCCCAACTCTTGCTATCAGCTCATAGCACTTTTTTCTTTAAATCATTTCACCGCTTAGGGTGGAGTGTGTGTGTGCTTAAGTAAATAAGAAATCTCAATCAGTTGTCCTACCTAGAAGAAAACCACAAAAAGAAATCTGCAAGTAAGGTGTCATTAAAATCTTTTCACAAATCATGTCTCTGAAAAGGGACATGATTTGTACCTCCTCCAGGTTCACAGCAGGGCAATTGACAGCCGCTGAAAGGAGCCGCAACCGAGTGTCTGGCAGTGGGCGGGTGGAGACATAAGACATAGTCTAGACATGGGGGGCATATTAAAAAAGGACCAAAGTGGGCCCTCCCTGGTGGCGCCATGGGTTGGAGCGCAGTGCTACTGAGTTAGCCGCAGTGGCTTCAGCAGCCAGGAAGCTGACCCACATGGCGCAGCAGACCTCTCCTGGCCCGCCTGCTGCTCCCCTCAGCAGTCAGTCGACCTGTTCTGCTCCCCACTCTTTCTCTGGTGAATCCTCTCACTTCCGATGCACCTCTGGCTACACCCCAGTTCTGTATGAATAAATAAGTAAACCTTTAAAGAATAATATAATAAAAAAGGACCAATGCTCTGACACCCACCATAGCCGTGGGTTAACCCCCACAGACATTATGCGTAGTGAAAGAAGCCCATTGGGAAAGGACAGATTTTGTATGGCTCTGGGTAGAAGGTGCCTGGAATATAGGAAAGAATCTCATACAGACAGAAGGGAGGAGGTAGGTTGGTGACTGGAGAGAAAGGTGGGGGAAGCTAGAGTTTAATGGGGACGGTGTTGGCGGGAAAGACTGGCGCGTTCTGAGCTGGATGTGGATGTGGCGGAGCAGTGAGAGTGTGCATTCGACTGGTTGGAATGGTGCATTTTTGTTAGGTTTATTTTGCCACCATTAAAAAAAACCACAACCATTATATAGCTTGTTTTTATACCCACCAGAGAGGTTGAAGAGTGGGAGAGGGGAAAGACAGACCATTGTTAGGGAGAAGTTAGAGACCATTTAGCTACAAAATAAGGCTTCTTCCTGGGCAGTCAGGATTGAGAAAGACTGGAAAATAAATGACTTTTTCATATGACTCAGCCAGTGGCTGGTCTGGCATCCCCCTTACAGTTCCCTCAAACACCATCAGGGGGAGCAGTCTCACACAAGGAAGCTTCTTGCTGGGCAGGGCATTGCTCACCAGGAGTGCGATGAGAGATGATTTGTCACTGGGAGTTGCATTTGAACCCAGGCTGTGTGCTCCAGCCTTCCTGAGGGCCTTGTCATCGCCACACTCATTGACTGTCAGATTAAGCAGGGATCTTTCTCCCCTTTTCTACAGATGGGGAAAAAGGCTGAGAGGCCACATCTGCCCCCGGGCACCAGGCTGAGGCCTCAGAGGCTGCAGGGCCAGTGCCCCTCCCTCACCACACTGACGCACAGCATCCTGGCAAAGGTGCAATCACCCCACTCCTCCAAGAAGTGCTGTAGAAAGGTTCTGTGGGTAGAGATCAAGGGGTGAGATAAGTGTGGCTTTTGGTCAGAAGAAATTCAGAGAAACAAAAAGCTAGTATTGGTGAAAGGAGAAGTAAAGTCAGCTTGAGAAGGGCCGGTGTGGGGTGAAGGGAGCAGAGAGAAGTGCAGAGGGCTTGGAGGCAGCAGCAGAGGAGAGAGGCTCCACCTATGTCCCTGCTTCCCCTTCTTCCTGCAGATGACATCAGAGTAGACAGCCCAGGGTCAGCGGTGCTTCGCAGGTCAGTCTCTCCAGGCTTCTCTGTCCCCCTCCTCTCTGTCCTGCGTGAGTTCCCCAACAGACCCCAGACTTGCCCTGCCCCAGGGGTTGGGGGGATGGGCAGGACTGCACTGGGACATCCCAGCAACAGGCTGGATACTCACCTTCCTCCCCTCCCCCAGCTCCTGGTCCCCGTTGCGAACTCCAGGTCTCCGTGAATGTAGAGATCTGTTTTTGTAAACAGGCAATTTTTACTAAGCAGGCGTTAGGCGCTGGGTTCAAATCTTGGCTGTCCCATGCCAGTTATTAGATTTCTGGACCTCGGTTTCCTCATCTGTTAAGTGGGGCTAGTTTGGTACCTGTACCTCAGCTAGTGGGTGAGGTGTCTCCCCCTCAGCGCCACCTTAAGTAGAGCTGGGACAACTTGTAGTAGGGCACAGGGTGTGGCTCTGGTGCAGGCTTCATCCAGGACTTTCTCTTGGGCTTTGGGGGACCCGGTTCCCTGACCTTTGAAATGGGACCAGTACCAGTGCCTCTGGCAGCTTTCCTGTGCAGGTCACAGGTTAACTTGGCCTCCCAGGGTGAGCCTGTGCCCTGTGGTTGGCAGAAACAACTGTGGAAGGGGCAGGAGGGGCTGGCGTTGGGCTCTGGTGCTAAACGGGGAGATGGTGGGTTTTGGGGGTGCACTGTGAGCTCTGGGGAGAAAACTTCCCAAGCCTTGAGTTCATGTGTGTTCCTGGCCAGGCACTTTGGGTCCATCCTTGCTCCTCAGCGTGAGGGCATGAAAGGAGATGATGGAAATGGTTGGGAGTCTCTCCCTGAAAGTAGGTCTCCTTGGCCTCATTTGCAGAAGTGAGACTCTGAAGCCCTGAGAGGTCAATTTCAGTGCCTGTTACCACAGCTGGACACTGGCTCCTGGAAGTGCTGGCCGCACTCACAGCTCCCAGAGGCTCTGCTCTGAGTGTGTCTGCCTCTGTGTGCAGGTCGTCCTGCTGTGGAACTCAGGAGCTCAGCCACCTCACGCATGTTGGGAGGCTGAGCACAGGAGAGCGCTGACTCGGAGTCTGGGGCCCTGGGCCTGAGTCCTAGCTTAACCACCGCCTGCTCTGGGCTGGCGTTACTTTCAGTTATTGGGACCATCTTGGAAGTCAGGTAAGGGACTCCTGTTTCTCTGAGGGCCCCGAATAGCGAAGTGCAGGAGAGGGAGAGAAGTAGCTCAGGTGTGGAGTGAGGATATGTGGGGCCCTTTCTGAGGGTGGGGAGGGTAATGTTGGCCGGCAGAAGCAGAAGCACAGGCTGCAATTTGCTCCGGGGAAAGTGGATGAAAAGCACATCTTTGGGGTGCTTGGAGGAGGTATCACTTCTGCTTTGGCTGGGCGGTGGTGGGGGTTAAGCTGCTTTTTTGTGTCTGCCG